CTCTGCACAAACCAATCATGGAGTTTACTAATGAGTAGGGGGATTTTCGATGAAATTTTACTGGTTCGTCCATCAATAAAATTTCAAGCTCTGAGTTGTTGTTTCCTGTCTTCACCGGTTGGAGGCACATTCCAAGACTGTGGTGATGGCCACCATATTCAGAAACAATACGAACAGACTTTCTTCCACGGTTATGCGCCACAAACAACTTTTAGAAACCTTTCTTTTCCGTACCACCTTGGGTGAAAGCTCAGGTCGCACTTATGAGCAGCTCATGTTAGAGTGTGTACCTCCAAATTGTGCCCGCGTGCAACTACTTGCACCTGGTTTCCAATTGAGGTTGAGCACCTTTAGTGCACAAAAGCAACTACAGATCGTATCACAGCCAGAAATTGCTCGTCATTTGGAAACCCCTGCCGTTGATACGTGTTGATGCACCGAAACCTACTACGGCATGACCGACTTCACATGCCCTGGATGCGCGACTGTCGAATCCATTAAGTGTCCGTATAAATGTTGTTAGGCACGCGTGAATCGGCCAATGCTGTTTGTGGTAACACAAGCTCCCAAGGATCGTAATCCAGACTCAAGTAAAAATGAGCTCTGACACTACATTGCCGACCGCAAAAAAAACCGGAGAACTGAATACATGCGTCGGTAAACTTTAGCAGTTGAGCGTGGACTTGGTGATCGACAGTAACACTACTACCCGCAAGACAGACGATCGCCTCCTTCAGCTTTGCATTGATCGTGGCCTATTTCACTCAAAGGCTAGCATTCGACGCCTTGGGGGCGATCCATCATCTGCGTATCTTCGTTACCGGACTAACCGGAGACAAGACTGATACCACATTAGTTATCCTTTACCTCGAACGAGGCTTTTTAAATGGTCGCGAACAAAATTCGAGTGCCTACCTCACTTTTGACCTCGCAATTAATTAATATGCGTCATGGATGTCACCGCTATGTATTAGTTATTTATTGCATGGTAATATACCATTTACAGAGGAGTCACATGCGACATAAGTTTGAAAATTATCTCTGAGTGGATCGCAATAAACAGATTCATACGTTTATTCGACCGCGAGGTTTTCGGGTTCTTTTACGCTCGACTAGTGATTAGTTCTCATTCGCTCAGCAATGAGAATAAGTACGGGCGAGAATAATATTCCTGGTGTCAGAAAGTGGTGCTGTTTACATACCGTTGAGCCAAACTGCTATCAGATCCAACCACAGTACATAAAACAGTCGACTGTGCAAATTAATGAGGTGATCAAGTTAGAAACTACTCTGACAGAACAATGATTTGTCGCGGGTAAAAAAGTTGAAGACGATCAAGTCCCGTAAGACTCTCCTGGTCACAATCGAGTTCAAAAATGAAGGTATCCAGGAAAATCAATCGCGCAACAGCAGACTCATTGTGGCATCCACATAAATATGTGTAAATCGAGTTACCGAATTTCATAGGCCTGTGTGTAACGTGTGCGATATTGTGCCTCGATGAACACAGCTGGAAACGGCTTAATGTTTTGTCAATGCGTTTTTACATGATGTATGTATATTACTCAACTGTGCGAGTTACAGTCCAAGTTTTGGACTGGTCATTTGGTACAAGATGATCTCAAGGTGCACATGTTATTTCAGATTTTCCAGATTATGAACAGACTTTTGGGACAGGCTGTATCTCCGTAGAACAACAGATAGCACTGAATAAGTTGCGTTGGCTTGGGCACTTGCTATATACGCCTGGTCACTGCTTGCAGAGGATGGCCTTGGTTTGTTTGTCAGATGTAGGGTAGCGCAAGGCTAAAGATGTGGTAGCGGGAAAGGAAGTCACTGAAGGCAAAACTCTGTGGTGTTGGTCCTATGACCTTCCAGCCTGGAGTTCACGTGAGCGCCTTGTGTTTGGCTCGAGACGTTACAAAACATGGCTCGCGGTCGACATAAGTGGGGAGTCGGCTGCTGTCCACAGTTGGAGTGCCTGTTTAAAAAGGGTGCTTGGTGCTGAGTTAGTTTCGGGGTAATGACTGATTATGACGCGGGGCAGTGAAAGTTACAAGGGAGCTGCCTCGCCGATGCGGTCTTATCCTTGCATCGTAACCAGCTGTTTGTCACCGTACGTTGTTAACAAAGCGTAGGGTCTCTAAACCTTAATGTTTGCTTAGGGCATTAAGGTTTTACCCTCGGATCCTCTTCTCTCTTATTATTCTCCCTTCCATAGGTCATCATTTTTGTAAAGCAGCGAGGCATCAGTTTAAATAGCTAATGTACGATGTTGTTGATTATACACAATAAAAAATTTTGTTTGCTAGTGACCAGCAGACAAAAATCATGGTCGGTTGAATGGGGGACAGGCTTTCAAGGTAGGCAATTCAGCGGGCACATTCGAGGCAGAGAAGGGTCGCGAGGTCATGAATCGTGGACGAAAAAGCGAAGACGCCACTTTTCTGATAACGCATGGGAGTGAAATGCCATTGACTGGTTTGTGTCAAGCGTGCGATAGATAGACGTTATCGCAGGTTTTCAATTCAGCAGTACACCAGTACTTTGAACTAATGATTCACCGAGATGCAACCGCAGTCATAGGCGGGGACCTGAATACATAGAGCAGGCATTACAAGGTAGACACATGAACCACCAAATCACGGCTGCACCTCGGAATCAGCATCCCTATCCAGTTAGTATTAGTAGCTGTGTATTCACGACAGCTAGAATGGTACGTGGAACACCATGTACAATGCTCGATGTCAAACATAATCAGTCAGTTCAACAGAAACGCATGATCGTATCCGGCTGAATTAACGCAGCGACTGATTTTCGCCATGATTGAAAGGACTTGCTTATTTAGACGAGATGTTAAGAAGACGGCATACAACCAATGCGTATTAAGACTCGTGAAATAAGATACACCAACCAGGTCTACCATAGACATGCGTGCTAGGCTATGATACTTATCAAACAGCCTACACGACGACCTATGCGACGCGGGGTACCGTGCACAAAGTCTCCATTTGGAACTATGGCGATCTCCAAAAGTTTCGGATTACACACCCCGCTTAATTCGCACGTGTCTGTTCCAGTCCCATTAACTGTGGTTGCGTTGGTCGGATGACAAACCACCGAAAAACTTGTTCACTAGTGTTGGCTGGTACCAGCGTGTCCGTAACGAAATGTGCCTAAGAATACTAAGCGACAAGAATGAGTAAATCAGATCGTAATTTCAACAAATAAACTGCAGTTGTGTTGCCTGGAGTACCCATCTCTAGTCGATAGTCTTGTTTACCGAATGGCATAATGCCACGGAATGACAATTACTGAGCGGGCGGCAGAAAACGAGGTCACTCATTACTACAATGGGTGCTGCTGTTCCATTTCCTCTTCCAGGATGTGGTTCACAATACAAACATAATCCACTCAGGTCATTGAGGGATTTGACTATCAACGGCGCCCATAGTGCGTTTGCAGTCGTCTCCTAGTTGCATTAAATAGCTGTGTCAAATGCGCAGAGTAAGGAAAGTTATGACGCGAGAAAGTGGAAATCGAAAGAAACTATCGCATCAAGGTCAATCGACGCTTCGATTCTGCATAGAGGTGAGCTCGTCACATATCAGTGCAAATGCAACCACTGGTGGCGTCAGTACGAGGTTAGGGCAGAGTGCTAGAACGTTGTCATTTGTTGATCTATTTTGTTCGTCATCGATGTGCGGTACTTTTCTGTGGAGCTGCGGATACATACACGTCAACTAGCATGAGAAATGCTTCGCAAACAATAATGGCCAGAGACCTGAAGTTGCCTGAGAGATGCAGATGGGAGTAGTCACGTGTTACTGCAGTACGAGATAAAGGTCGTCAATGTTGTCGGGTATACATGGCCACAGGTGTCGCAGGTTCATAAAGTTGGTTATAGTTATCGCAATACGTGAACTAACTTCAGCACCTAGGTGCTGAGTAGCCTCAACATAAGCAAAAACAAATTATTTATGCGGCTGTTAAGAAAAATAGAACGGTCAATTGTTACTAGCTCCTTGTAGCTGGGAGTCAAAGGCAAACGGACAACTAACGTTCCCGAAACAGCGTCTTACGTTTTGAACAAAGACATCGCAATTGAACAAAACTGGATAACGCCACATGTTGTTGAAAAGGTGGCTGGCATTTCTCCAGTAAAATTGGTGTGATCTGGACAACTATGTTCCCATATTTCGTGGGAGAACTTGCCCAGGCAAGTATGTTGGAGAGGTGGCCAAGCGATGACTTGGTCGAGAGAAATGAAGGCCTCCACTGGAGCGCCACGGCTCCCTGGTTGGGGTCCAAAAGACGATGAACACATTTGCCTAGATACACTCGCTGACATGACTGGGAGCCGACCTCAGTGACATTCCTGCTGAGTTTCTTTGTCCCTCTCCATCCCTTTTAGCCCCCTCTTCCAACCACGATCGCATTTGGTAGCATAATTTTTGTTGTTGCCTAGTAGCCGGCTGGTAGCTTTCCGGCACGATGCCCATCCGTTGCTGGTAGCTTAGCTGGAATGCAACTGTTGTATTTATCTTCTTTTTTCTTTTATGCATTGCGGCACAGTAGCCGAGGTGTTTTACACCTCTAGCTCACGTGTATAATGGATGATGAGGTTGAACAAGGCGCATAGATCGGCTGGGGCGAACGCACTGTTGGAATCAAGAAAAACGACTATTTTCCGTGCATGGTACATGTGACGCTGTTACAAAACATGTAGTAGAGTAAAAAGGTGGCCCATATCAACCGGTGGCGATTGAAAAAATGGGCCACTCTTCGATTACCAATCAAAGAGCAGAGCAATGGACGAGGATGCAGGCGATTAATCTGAGCGATTCCGGCATTAAACAAACTTAGAGACCTATCAAACAAATGGTGCACAGCCGTGGTACGCGAAGCAACTAATAGTCCGACAACCAGTCGAGAAAGATAGTACCATATTCTGCGTTCCGCAAGCTTTCAAACACCCCCGCTACTGATGCAAAATGTCAGAATGAGTCTGATTTATATTTACACAAACAGTTAAAAACTCCAAATCGTTCGAATAGGCTGGTGGGAGCGATCCGGGAAGCGCGGGCGAGGTCACCAGGTTGTGCGGAAGTAGAAGATTTATATTGCTTACAAGGGCTCCATACCAAGTCCGTGGAATCACCGTGCTTCAAAAACGCTCACTAGAATAAAGCAAATAAAATAAAACCACGACGTTTATGGGGTAACACATAAGAACGATATGCGTTCAAGAAGCAACTTAAAAGGTAAGAAATGGCACTATATATATATATATATATATATGAAAAACGAGGAATTCAAGGATTCTGCGACACACTGCAAGTAAGCAGCTACGAAAATACGGTTTTTGATAGTTTTGTCGCCCATGTCAAGTAAAGTCGCAACAGGAGCGGGATGCTGTATGCTTAGACTCTCCGCTTGGAAGCCAAAGTGGAAACTGAACAATCACCTTGATTGGCTAAAGATATGTGGTCAATAGCAGTATTTCGCCGATTGGTCTAGAAAGAACTAAGGTGCACAGGACCGATTGGCTGAACTCCCAAATCCAGGTAATCATCTCTTCAATAATCACGTCCGTTTTACTTGCTTGCACACTTGCCATTCGGTTGTGGAACCACTGACGCGTTGGTAGGTTGGACACCTAGGTCCTCTCATTACGACTTCAACCCACCTTGTCTCTCAATAATTCGTTTCAGTCTTACATGGTCTTATCACTTGCCAGTAAAGCAGCCGATACATTAATAGCATTAATATAATTGTCAGTTTTAACGTATCTTAAACATTTCATTGACCTCCTGGCCGGATTGCCTGCCTAACCCTATTGCTAAGCGCTGTGGGCCAATCAAGTTAGGGCTTTGCATTTTCCCTCATCATATAACCCATTCGTCATGAAGCATCTGCACTGTACCTACTACTAACAAACGCCACTCCCAACACAGAATTACAACGCGTTTGCTGAAATATTTCCAGATGGGCACCCTGCGTTAATAGGTACTAACTAGACCCATTTCGTCCCGTTTTGTATGCATGACTAGATGACACATCATCTACAAGTTAGTTATAAGTTTGTGTTCATGTTTTTTTAATTCGCTGTGAAAAGCTTTCTTTGGAATTCACTTATATTGATTGCATTTTTTTCTTTACAGTTTTGGGATCACCAGCTTGGCTGTTTGTGTTTATGCCGTGCCAGAAAATAGTTCGGCGACAGTGCGTTTTCGCCTGGCAAGCGTTCTCCTCATAAAAAGCCACATATGTTCGTTTAAAAACACTAAACAAAGTCACTGCCTCCTGCGTCACTCAAGTGGAGCATCGTATTTTAGCAACGCGGAGCAGAACATGTGGGGAGGATGGGGTCCCAGTTTGTTAACCGACTAAACGAAAGGCGTATGACATGAAAAAGCAGTCACCGGCTGACAATGTGTATGATTCCCTGAATTCCCCTCGCTGCCTTGCGGGTAGGCAATTTAACCAAAGGTTCTAGATGGTGTACCCCAAGTTAGCACCCTACCTCGGCTTGGGCAAACGTGTAATATCCAGTCCTCTAACGGAACCATGGATTTCTCGGTTGTTTTCAGTTATCTTTTAAGAACAGATGTCAGTTTATGACAACTGTACCTTACTTTGATTTCCATGATTCTGGATGGCTCTTTGTCTGTTGGCAAGTGATGGGAATCGAAAGCAGTTGATCGTCGTGCATGGCGCGATCTGAACACCAGGGCCGTTGTGCAAGAGAAAGCCCTCGTGCATGCAGAAAAGAAGCGACAGGCGCCGATGGGTTGTACTCCAAAGATATCGAGTGTGTGGTGCTAAAGCACATGCGGTTGCCAGTGCCTGAGTCACGCAGGCTTAGTGAACCATGAGCGAATCCAGTCGGGACCACCACTGAAGCGACGACGGGTCCTGCAGACAAAGAAGGCAGAACTGATGCTGTTTGCAGGTACGCGGCATTCGATTTACCAACCGCATGCCTGCATGATGAGTTTATTTCACGTGATAGGTTTGCTTATTTTCCTTAGGCTTTTATTATCTCATATTAATTTCAATCTGAAGTTTCTACTATAAATTTGCACACATCCGTTAAACTGCTTTAGTTAACTTCGACAACATTTTCGCGTTTGTGGCATTTTCTAAAATAAATTTTCTGACGTCTTGAACTTATCGCGGATTTACTCGTAATCAATTTAGGGAATATGCTTAGTTAGTGAAGAGTTGTATTACCGTATCTGTATGCAGTATTCAATTTACGTTATTTGATATCGTCATTTCAAGTGATTGGCTAGTGTGTCTGTAGTTGATGTGCATGTTAACAAGGCACCTACCTATCAATTACCCACTACCTCGTCCATAGTGGCTCCAGGAGACAGTTGGTCGTTGCTGGAGGGGACGGGGAGCACGGTCCTTGTGGCTGTGCTAGGCTCGAAGAGTGGTTCCATGCACTCAGTAGGGGGCGGACTACGGTCCAGCCACCGCCTTGTGTGCGCTTGATTCCCAAATACAGCGCCCTTGTGTTTGCCTGTGAAGGAGTGTGGGCCGGCTCAGTTGATGAAACGTGGCTCCTATCCACAGGCCACCCGGTATCATTCCTTTGGGTTTACCCTGGATACAGGGTGTGTGTGGTTAGAGCTGTGGGTGGTGCAGCGCAAGCCACCCATGATCGCTCAGTAGGCGCAAACGTCCCGTGGCTGGTCCCAGTGACAGGTAATCCGAAACCGGATGTCGCCAACCATATATATATATATATATACATATATATATATATATACATATATATATATATATATATATAAGTTGAAACTATGAAACGAAATAAAACAAATCGGATATCTCATACAGATACGGCGGCATAACTCTTCACTAAATGAGCGTAAAAAATAACTTGGTTACGAACTAATCCGCGATAAGTTAAGACGTCAGAAGATATATGTTGACAAAATGCCGCAAGCGCAAAAAGGTTATGGGAAGTAACTACAATTAGCTTCAGCGACGGGTAGACGTTTATAGAAGACAGTCCAGGTAGACATTATTAAGAGAAAGAAAAGCATTAGCACAAAAGTGAAAACCCACCACCTCAAATAAAGAGACTTAGCATGCAAGCACGCGGTTAGTAAATCGAATACACAGTACATACAAACGCCGCGCCGGTTCTGTCTACGTTCTCTATATAGGACACGTCGTCGCTTCGGGGATGGCCCGAGTGGCATCGATCATGGCTCACTAGGCCTGACTGACTCAGGCACTCGCGACCGCATGTGCTCGATGTCGGTGGAGTACAACCCATCGGTGCTTGCCGCTTTTTCTCTGCATGCATGAGATCCTTCTCCCGCACTTCGGCAACTGCCTTCGTGATCAGATTGCGATATGCACGCAGATCAACCGCCTTCGATTCCCATGACCTGCAATCAACATGAGAGGCTCACTTTGATCATGTTTTGGTAAGGTAACTTTGATTTCCCCACATACCGCTTCCCAATACTCAGCTGACCACATAAGAGTTGTTTCGGTATCCGCGTCGAACTCATACGGCTCACATGACTGAGCCACCTCAGATGTCTCAGCAAAAGTATGCAGTCCACTGCATGCATTCCACTTCGTCACAACACTTCCGTGTCTGCAACTATGTCGCACCAACCGATCCGCGGAATCCGTCGCAAACACTGTTGATGGAACCGCTCGAGATACCTCACATCTTGCCGGTACATGGTCCACGCTTCGCTGCCGTATAGAAGAACGGCTAGTACCATGGATGTGTACACCACCAGCTTCGCGCCAACGGTAAGCTGATGGTTCTTCCACACTCGGTACTCTAGCTTCCCGAATGCCGCCGCTGCCGCAGAGACGCAGGTACGAAGCTCACTGTGGATCTGCTGATCAGTTGACATCGCACTCCCAAGGTAGCAGAAGCGGGAGATAATTTCCAATACTTCAGCACCAATGCTGATTTTCAGCAATCTTGCAGACTGCACCTCCGGTGAAGGCTGAAAGAGACAGACAGTTTTGCTTGTGTTGATGGTGGGCCCGAATTTGGCTGCTGTCGAAGTCAGAGCACTAGTCATGTGCTGCAACTCATCTGCCTTGTGTGCAAACAACGCACAGTCGTCAGCAAACAGCAACATACGGATAGTTGTCTCACAGACTAGGGTACTCGCACCGAAACGACGGATGTTCAGCAAACCACCATCAATACGGTGCTCCACACGAACACCGTAAGCACAAGCCGCATCAAAAACACAAGACATCATTGCATGAAGATATATACTAGACAGGACAGGAGCTAAGATACAGACTTGATTCACACCAGTAACAACTACAAAGTCATACGAGGTTTCTCCACTTAGCTGCACCCTCGCTCGCATACCACTGTGCAGACATTCAAGTAAACTTACAAACTTACGCGAGCAACCAAACTTGCCCAACACCAGCCATAGTACCTCGCGGTTCACCGGATCAAATGCCTTGGTGAAATCAACAAAAAGCGAGTACAATGGCTGGTGTCGTTCTCTGCACTTCGCCTGCAACTGACGAGCCGCAAACACCATATATATAGTGCTGTGACCCAAACGGACTCCACACTGCTCTTTCGCCACTTTCGGTTTCACAACCTGACTGACAAAGAGGTTGCGCAAGATTCGGGCAATCAACTTGCCCATACAACTCAGCAACTTGATGCCACGATAATTCGTGCAACATTGCTTGCTCCATTTGCCCTTGTACAGTGGAAGCACAATGGCATCCTTCAACTCAGCAGGCACCTCCTCAATCAATACGCGTTGCATCAAGTGGTGAAGCGTAGTCACCAACGCGGCTCTGCTGTGTTACAGTACTTCAGGCCGGATCCCATCGTCCCAGACACACTTGTCGTTGCGCAGCTGAGCAAGTGCTCTCTACGTCTCACCCAGTATCGGCGTGTCCGCCAGACTCGTCTTCACATCGTTTGGCTTCAGGCCGTTCAATGTAGGCCAGTCGATCTCTGAACGGTTGTTCAAGAGACAGCCAAAGTGTTTTTGGCAGATCTGCATCATGTCTGCAGTCTGTGTGCAGGTAGCACCTGTGCTACCATCGATCAGCGTCTTTAGCGGCTCCAATCTCGGTCCACACATTGCCTTCAAGGAATCAAAAAATTCCTTGTGTTGGCGGCGATCGGCGTAGCATTCCATCTGCTTCGCCTTCTCCGTCCACCATGCATTTTTAATGAGACGGAGCTCTCGGGTCAATCACCGTCGAAGTTTGCGGAACTGACTATTCATCTCCAAGTCACTGGGGTCTGCCAGATATGTCGCAAATAGACTGGACCTTAACGTGGTGCGACGGTTTGCATACCTCGTTGACTCATTGAGCTATAGTGGGTGATGCCTCCGGGCACCTTTAGAGCTAGTCCTACCAGGTTGATCAGTGGTGAGAGGTCAGACAAACTCAGTCTCCTGGTCCTCCAGGTTGGGGTTTTGAAATGGGATTGCGTCCATTTCTGTAAAACTAAACCATTGCCACCTCCCCCTGCCTTGCGGACAGGCTTTTGAGCCAAAGGCTTTGGATGAGGACCCTAATCGTCCTCCTGTCTAGGTCTGGCAGTACCTCAGCCCACATACAACCATGACATTTTCTTCAAACATAAACTTCATCCTGCATCGGCCGTCGCGCAGATTATCAAGGGTCGCCTTATCTGCTGCATACAGCAGGGCGGATAAGCGAAAACATGCTACTGCTGGCGCCTCCTTTCTTTTCCACCTGTTTCACTTACTCCCATCCCGATCCTCATTACTAACCTTCCTTATATAATTCCCAGCTTAATTGACAGCAACCGAAGTGCCACTGGAGTAGAACCATCTGCAGCCAGCATCCAACAGCACCTATCGGCAAAAGTCCCTTATAAGGCCACACTATCCTGCTTCCATGGCGACGTTCAACGTTTGCACTCTAAGACGAAGAGGTCAACAGGCTGCATTCGCACGCACCTTGGACACACTGGGTATTGATGTGTGTTGTGTGTCCGAAACTAGGAGCAATGACCTTAACGGGGTTATTGAATTGACTGCACCCGGCTTATCCACCCGTTATCAGTTGCACGCATCCGGAGACGACGATGCAGCACTCACGGGTCAAGCTGGTGCAGGTATCATTCTAAGCTCCAAGGCTGAGCCATTGCTGGTTGATTGGATTCCGGTGAACGGCCGTTTATGTGCAGACCGTTTGATGACATCAGCTAAGGGGGATTCACGAAGTAATACAAAACGCTGTTTGTTTGTGATTTCCGTTTATGCTCCCATCGACTGAAGTTCAAATGCTGTCAAGGACACATTCTATCACGAACTGAACGCCCTACTACGCAGTGCTACTAGTTCACATATTATAGTACTTGCAGGGGATATGAACGCACAAGTAGGGCGTCTGAGCTCTTTAGAAGCTCAGCTGGGTGGTAATTGTGGACTTAACTCCGAACGGACTGACAACGGTGAGCGTCTGCTGCAACTGTGTAGGGAGCACCAGTTGTTTCTTAGTAGCATTGCTTTTAGACACCGTGGGCGCCAAAGTGTCACTTGGCGTCTTCCTGTAGCTGGCCAGCGATGGACCCAAATTGACCACATAGCCATAAGTTACAGATGGCGCGGTTCCATTCTGGATTGCTGCTCGCACTGGAGTACCTGTATCGACTCTGATCATGCCTTGGTACGCTGTCGTTTCTCCATGAACTTTAACGGGAGGCGCACCAAGCGTCCCCTACGATTGGCAACTGAGAAATTGTCTCAGCCCTCGGTCAGGCAAGCCTATCAAGACGCACTGCATACTGAACTTTCACTGTCTTGTCCTAATGACACTGAACTTCAGTGGAATAGGATCTCGGCTGCCATGCACGACGCAGTAGCATCTGCTTGTGGCACTATCAATGGTCGCCACACCAGTTACTG